AAAATCATGTGGCAGCCACATGAAAAAATCATGGGGCTGCCACAGGAAAATCATGTGGCAGTCACATGAAAATCATGTGGCAGCCACATGAAAAAATCATGTGGCTGCCACAGGAATGTATCATGTGGCAGCCCCAATTTTTTTTTTGCGTGCACTGAAAAAAAAAACTTGTATCAAGAGAAAAATTCTCGAATCAAGGAAATAATTTTTAAGTTTCAATGTCTTAAATAAGACGAAAAATTCTTGAATCAAGTAAAATTTATTTAAATAAAAAATAATTTCTTCAAAATTATTTTCTTGATTCAAGTTAATTTTTTTTTATGAACGTATTTTAAAATTTGTACATTACAAAAATGAAATTGAGAAATATCTATTTTTTTAATAATCCAAGTGCGTAACATTCCTTAAATTTTATTATAAAAATAATTTATAACAAAATACTTATGAATCATACAATTAGTTTCAATATTTATAGTAAATCTATCTGAGTCATAAGTGATAAACAAAGTGAGGGGTCAGTGTTCTCATTGACTATTTACTTAGCAAATTTGCAATACGTCCAACAATACACTCTTAAATACAATAAACATCACTATTTATTTTAACAATACTTAAGTATTTACAAAACTAGTTATTTTAAATCTATCTTCAATTAATCTTGATTAAAAATAGTTCTAAAAACTCTACTTCATTACTAAATAACCAAAAAATACGGAAAAACGGCTGGTGCTAATTTTTCATGCACCCACTCCGCTTTTCGAACGCTAGTATACTATAGTCTCTTTATGAAACTAAAGGCTCACATTTAATAACCATCTTACTTAAAACTATAATCTCGAATCCCATAAAGTATTATGAATAGTTTTGCGTGATTATTTGAGTAGAAGAAGTTATCGTTCGGTTTTACTTTATACGATTTTTTTAATCAACTTTAATAATTTCAAATTATCTTTAAGATTACATTAATACTTCATACTAACTTTAAAAAAAATTTTAATAATAAAATAGTAGAGCGAAGATAATTAAGTACTTAACTAAAGTTAAAGGGAGAGCACCGAATCCTCTAGCTCTAGCCGAAAGACGCGGAGGAGGCGGTCCTCAAAATAGAAATTTGAGCAAATGACTATTAATATCCGATGAGTGCGTGCCATTCTTCGTCTCTGTTGCTCTCACAATCGTAATTGGCTCTATTGCATTAGATCTGAGCGCACGACGTTCCCGTTGCCTCTTTTCTATGACCCCCTCTCGGAAATCAAATTTAAAAAAGTCGTAATTTTTAAAAATTAACCTTTTTTAATTTTTGTCTTTTTTTTTTTTTTTTTTATAGATGTATGTATGTATGCATGTATGCACTCCACCCTACCCGGGTTGGAGACTCCTCGGCACCACCTCACACCATCCACTGTCTCTCTCTCATGACTGACGTTGTTGTCCACGTGCCGTGTGCAAACTGGTACTCGGGACTATGACTAGGACGCGTCCGCGGCGAAAACAGCCAATTCGAATCCAGTATTAGTGCGGTTAACAGTGTTACGAACGGTGTCATATTCTCTGTAATTGTCTGTCTACTTTCGAATTATTATATTTATTGACAATTATTACGATACTTAGTACTATTTTATCTTAACGTGGTGAGTAAACAGAAGTTTTATTACTTAGTAATCGATAATCAATACTCAATAATCAGAAATCCAAAATTTTTACGGTGTATTATGTACTCCCAAAGTGAAGGTCTAACTGCGAGCAGAAATCGCCACCTGGCGGTGTGCAAGAGAATTAAACCCCTTTTTCCCAATTATTTTGAATTTTTTGATCCTTTCAATGATAATATAAGAAATACTGAAAATGTGAGTGCTTTTTACGGAACAAACGTTGTAGGCGCGAAAATATAGAGCAAGGCGAACGCGAATGTGAAACATAAGAGCTGAAACGTGAGGCGGGATGGAGATGGAGATGGATGGATTTTTTTAACGGGGGGAAGATTGCGCGGACCTCCTTCCCTAATACGGAGTCGACGACGCCGGATTGCCGGCCTACAACTCCCTCTACCTTTTTCTCGATATATATATATGTGCTCAGATATAGAAATTCCCTCTTGTCCGCCGTTACGGTGTCAACTGTTCCACGCTTATTTTTTAGACTTTTTTTCATTTATTCTTGGGTTCTCCTCCGCACTAGACGGTTCGTCAATAAATTTTTAATTTTACTTATTTTTCGTACTTGCTGGTCAATTGACTTTTTTTTTAAATAAATGTTAAGATTATTATTGTAAGTTTTTATAAATAGAAAAGTAATCCCGATGTAATTCAAAATTTATTCTCGGGTTCACGTAACTCTGGATTGAATAATTTTAACGCTTCCGCGGTTTCGTTCAACGGCTACCAAAATAGAATAAGATTACAGAGACGGTATTTTTAGACGGTACCGAGTAGTGTGCACTGTGCATGTGGATATACTCTTACAAATTAATTGCTAGTATTTTTAAATCGATTTATTTGAAATTTCAGTCGCGACTAATGAACTGAGTTTTAATTTTTAATTTTTATTTCATTTGTAATTTTATTTTAATAGAAATTTTTAATGATCATGATGATAGGAAATTAATGAATAATGGTTAATGCATTATTGCAGTAAAAATGCCTTTCAAGCCAGTAGAACATCCAAAATGCCCCAAGTGCAGCAAATCTGTATACGCTGCGGAGGAACGCGTCGCCGGAGGACTTAAATGGCACAAAATGTGCTTCAAATGCGGTAAATATATTTCAATTATTTTATTTTACTTTATCTTATGTTTGTTTCCTGTACGTGAGATAAATTACGCACTGTTTAGCGGTACCGAGAAATTTTTGCTTAACTCAATTATTTTGGGGGAAATGTGGTATGGTCAAAAAAGGTCGAAGGATATGTACTATGAGTTTTCAGATAATTTTATTTGGTTTTAATTGGATTTTTTTATTTTATGATACTAGTTTCGTGTTTTAGATTTTTTTAATTTGGGCTTTTAAATTTTCATTTGAGTACTTCTTTTCTTTAGTTTTTAATATAATTTTTATTGTGATGATGGGAAATATAACTATAGTTTTAAAACTTTCTTTTTTTATGCAATTATTTACAAAATTTTTTTTATTTAATTTTAACATTTAGTAAAATCACCCCTAATTTTTCTCCGTCCAAATTTTTATTTTCAGTGAAATTATTTCTGAATTTTTGTTTTTAAGATCGCAATGATCTTCAACATTTAATTTTAAAATTATTCTACTGCTTAAATTATTCGAATTTCATTTTTCCAATCTCTTATTTTTTAATAAAATCATTCCTGAAAATTCTGTTTTCCAAATTTTTTGTATTTTTGACCCTAATAATTTTTCAAATTTATTTTATTACAAAATCATATCCAAAAATTCTTTTTTAAAAAAAATCAAAAATTTTTGTCCAAAATTTTGGTTATTAGCAAAATCATTTTCAAGATTTTTTTTTCCAAATTATTGTGTCTTTGGTAATATAACTGTCCGAAATTTACATTTCACGTACTCTAATGGTCAAATTATTCAAAAATATTTTTTTTCCAAATTCTATTTTTCAGTAAAATGATTTCCAAAATTTTTTTTCCCTAGTTTTGAAAAAATTATATTATTTAAATTAATCTCAAAAACGAATTTATTATTATTTTTTTCAATTCTTCAAAATTTCTTCCCAAATTTTTCAAATTATCAAACATACATTCTCTCGAACTTAACCACAATCTCATTGCATTTTTTTACAGTTAAAAAATTATCTATTTCCCAGTCAAAAATTCCAAATTTCATACTAATTTTCTGGGCTAAAAAATTTTTAGGAAAATGTAAATTTTCTTACCGTACGGAAGCAAAAAAAATAAACTTTATTCAAGAGAAAAACTCCTAAATCAAAAAAATCATTTTGAAGAGTTTGACTGTCTTGAATAAAGTGAAAAATTCTTAAATTAAGGAATGTTGACTCAAAGCAAGAAAAATTTTTTGACTTGATTCAAAATAATTAAAGATTTTCTTGAATCAAATTTACTTTTTTTTCAGTCAAGTTCTACTGAATCAAAAAAATGTTCTTGTCTAAATGAAATTTCTTTTCGCTAAAATAACTTAGGTCCAAAATTCTAATAAAAAACAACCTAAAAAACTGTAAAAACGTAAAATTTACAGGTCTCTGCAGCAAGTTGCTCGACTCGACAAACTGCTCGGAGCACGAGGGTGAGCTGTTCTGCAAAGTCTGCCACGCCCGTAAATTCGGTCCCAAGGGTTACGGTTTCGGCGGTGGCGCAGGATGCCTCTCGATGGACCAGGGGGAGCACCTGCAGAGAGAGTGAGTCGCTCGGAGATCGCCCCCATTTGCGTCTCCCACAGTTATGTCCCGAGATCCATGTTTGCTATACAATTTACAATTTACAATATAACTTAAGCCCCACACATATACTATTTTTTAAATATCAAATTCCGATTTTGCCTATTTTAACTACCAGTTTACTTAGTTTCCCTCTTTTTGTACTCCTTATCTATGTACAAATTACCCCGTCAGTCAATAACCAATAAATGGACCTTCAATTGTAATCAAAATTATCCTTTATATAAATTTTATCACTATTTTTTATTGAATGTTTACTTACCGATTTCCATTCGTTCCTGCACTTGAATCTCGTGAGACGTAAGCACTGTTTTAATATATCAATAATAATGATACTAAATAATAAATAATTGTTGTTATAATACTCATTACACAATCATACTATGCGATAATTATTATTTTATCCTTAAATTACTTTATTTGACGATTGGATTTAGTACAGTGCCGTCTGTTTCTTGTTTCACTTAATTGTCTCCGTTAAAAATTATATTTAATATTTTATTTATATTAAATATAAATATATTTTTTTTACCCCTAAAAAAATCACATGTTACATTGTTAAATTTATTTGCTCACACACAGAAAAATTTTACACAGAAAAAATATAAAATAAATAATTAGTTTGAATAAAAAAAAAAAAATAATAAATTTAATTATTCACAAACAAGAACTGACAATTTAGTTTTAGGATTATTTGTACCATCTGTATTAAAAAAAATAATCAAAAAAATTATAAACAAATATACTAGTAACTTTATTGAATTATCTAACATTAATGTATTAATTGATTAACACTTAATTTGTTTTTTCTTTTAATTTTAATAAAATAATTATTAACGTAAAAGTAGAAAGGAAAAAATGTTTTTTTTTCATAAAGTAGAGAGTTTAAATATAATTCATCAAAGATCCAAGTCCAATGGATTTAAACTCTAAATGAAAATGAAAACAACAAAAAAAAATTTGAAATAGAAAAAAAAAACTAGAATGCCTTCACCCCCCGCCAGCCCCGCCGAGTTCGAGCCACCGGAGGCCCATTGATAAATCCGAATCACACCCACACACATCCATTCGTGACTATAATGGTGAGCACCGAGAAAAATAATTGCCAATTCCGCGTGATAAAGCTTGCCCGCGTATAAATATCCTGCACGGCCTTTTATTCACTTCAATTAACTCACACACATACTACACAAAAGTCATACTAAAAACAATATTAAAAACAGTAATAACAAGTAATTACAGTCACTGAGGGGGACAAAATATAAGGGGAGCTTTTGACAAGAACAGATATCAGAAATCAAATGAAAAATAGAAACATTTTGGTAATTTTTTTTGGTATTTTTGGGTTTTTTTTTTTTTTAATATTGTAATTTAACATTGATTTATTTTAGACTTAATTTTTTGTTATTGATTTAACAAAGATCAAAGTTGAGAATTTTTTTAATTTTTGACAAAAGGAATTCTTTTTTATTAATTCAAAAAGTAAAAACATTAAGAATTTAGAAAATTAAATTTTTGTGATTTAAAATTGTAAGTTTTAGTTTCTGTGGACATTTTTGAAAAACTGAAATTTTTTATTCCACAAAAATTACTGTTAAATATAAGAAAAAAAATTTAATAGTATTTGAACTAATATCTCTGATTTTAATTCATCTATAATATTTTACGACAAAAAATTTTTGAAATAATAATTTTGATTCAAGGAAATTTTCGAAATTAAGAATTTTTAATCATTTTTGAAGTATTATCTCTATTTTCGATTCATTTAAAATATCCAAAAGTAGAAAAATTGAACCGATTTCGTTTATAATATTCTTTTGACTTACTTAAGAAAATATTTTTGGATCAAAGTTTTTGAAAAAAGATTAAAAATAACTATTGAACTTTTTTTAATGACCAAAAAATTAAACTAAACAATTTTTATTTATGGTGTTTTTTTTAAATCATGATTTTTTTGAAATTTTTAAATCAATCACTAATTTTCACTAATATAAACTATTCTAAATGGAAAATTTCGGCTAATTTTTTAAAAATAATAATCTTTATTTAATCAAAAAAAAAAAAACTTGTAGGACAATATCAAAATTAACTTTTAAACTTATCTCCAATTATTTTTTTTTTTTTTTTAAACAAAATACTCCCATTTTTTCAAAAGTAAAAAAAAAACTCATTTCTTTCAAGCCACAAAAACTTCAAAACCAAAAAAAAACTAACTCTTAAAACAACAATCAATTAGAATAACTATATATCTTGTCAAAACTTTCCAAAATCACATTCTAACAATCTTAATCTAAAACCAAAACCATGCAACCCTCGCTACCCTTGTAATAACAAAATATTTATATTAAAATATTTTAAAAAGACTAACAAACGTTTCCAGCTAACCGTTTTCTTAACGGACCCAAACCAAGCGTCTTGTCCGCAAGCCTCGCTCATTATTTATAAATAAATAGTCGCTTTTTATTACTTTTCTTATCTCTCTTGTCTCTGTTATCTTCCAGTTTTAAGTTAATAATGAATTTATTTTTCCTTTAATGAATTTTTTATCAATTATAAATAAATATATAAAATGTCCTATTGTAAAATGTGCTTCTTGGCTCTCCTCTCGGGGCTCGGCGGAAGCGACTCGCGTGGTCGGGGTGTACTAACCTACAGCTAACTCAACCTTAACATATCATGTAATCGGTAATATATTTTACGTCACCACTTGTAATGAAATTTAAAAAAAAAAAAAAAAAAAAAAAACTATCTCTATAATTTTTATTTTTATTATAAATTTTTTACACTACTGACTTCTACTCTACATCGCTTATTTTAAGGCGTAAATTAACGCTAAGCTTATTTGCAGTTTATATTAATTATTTTATGACATTTTTTCATTTAAGCTAATAAAAAAATAAAGTGAAATAGAATTATTAATAACAATTATTTATTTTTAGCGGTGACTTACGGGGCTCGAGCGCGGTTATGGAGCCAAGGGCGATAGCCAAAGCTCCTGAGGGCGAAGGATGTCCAAGATGTGGAGGATTTGTGTACGCTGCTGAGCAAATGCTTGCACGTGGACGAGTAAGTATTAAATATTTTAAAATTTTAATAAAAATAAAAAAGTGGATAGATTTATAGTTTGAATTTTTATTAATAATCATCACTACGACCTTTGTATTAAATAGAGTTTACTTTATTTAATATGTAATATTTTATGTAGATCAAGGAGTATAATTATTATTAGTGAGGTAAAATAATTTTGATGATGGAAAATTTAAAAACGGTCGAGTTATCGTTGGGTGTCTGCCCAACAAAATAGTTATACTACTTGGCGGAGCTGCCAAGTAAATGTAGCTCGCGGCTCGCTTTACTTCTCTATGTATAATGGGATTAGGAAGGGGGAGGGGGAAGTGGTATGTAAAGGGTAATGTACATACTTAACATATGTAGTATGTAGTCCAATAAAAAAAGGATTAGCTTGCCAAGAAACCGAAATTAATCGAGTGAAGCTATAATTGCCAGTTTTATGGATTAATATGCCAATTGATTTAACATTACGGCTTACTGCTCTTTGATGTAGTGATGATTATTTCGTTTCATTTATAATAAGGCTTTATGTAATTGGTTATTTTTTTTTTTTTTTATTAATTAATGTTTTCTAATTAAAAATATTAAAGAGTTTGAAAAGTTATTTTGTTATGATTAGAATGATACGTTATTTTGAATCTGGGAGTAACTTGAAATGTTCATAACTTTTGAAGTAATTAAAATTTAAGAACCAAATAAGGTTTTTTTTTTAAGAAAAGACTGTTAGCTACAATGTTTGTTCAAAACTTTTTTTTCTCAAACCAATAGTTTATTTAATAAAAGTTGCCAAATGTTATAAAACAGATTTTCTGAGAAAAAAAATTTCAAATGTTTACCAGAAAATTAAAATAATTAAACTAATTATTTTTATGTCTTTGTCGAGATTTTAAGAAAGTTCATAGTCTAAACTTTAAAATCATGGATTACTTTTAGTAGTTAAATAATTTTCTCGCAGATTTTTTAGCGCTCCCATCCCAGCAAACAGATTCCAGGTTCAAAACAACGTTTTACATTAAAAAAAATTGCAATAAATATTTTTCCATAAAGTCTTATAATTAAATTATAAATATATAATTAGAATAAAATAAAAAATTCCAACGATGAATATGAAAGCGTGCAAGTATGCCAATGCATAAAGAAAAAAAGTAAAGCCGGTGTCATATTATGTCTCCTGAATTCTTATGACCAGGCTTTCCATAAGGCATGCTTCAAGTGCAAAATTTGCAACAGGACGCTGGACTCTACGCTTCATTGCGATGGTCCGGACCGTGAGATATATTGTCGAGGTATCATCAGTAAAAAAAACTCTATAACAAACAATACCGACCAAAAGATAAAACATTGCTCTTTGAGTTTTTTTTCCATTTTTGTTAAATTTAAAAAACTAAAATCGACATTACTTCCCTACCCCATTAAAATTATAAAAATCTAAATCTCTGCACGCCGACATAATCAAGGTCTCATTTTATATAAACAACAACCAGCGTTTAAATTATTGATTATTAAAACATAATTGTGACTAACACTGACTCCTTTGTGTCCGATATGCAGCAATGGCACAGGGAATGTTTTAAATGTGGCACCTGCTCGAAACGATTAGATTCCGTCAACTGTTGCGAAGGTTCTGACAAGGATATTTACTGCAAAGGTAAGACTAAATAATCTTCTTTTTATTTAACATTTACCAAAAAGAAAAAAAAAGATTTTTTTTCATTATTTGACAAGTTACGACACTTAATTACGTCAAGTTAATTGTTTGAAATTAATTTCACGCATTTACTGTCAAATTAGGAGCTAAGAATATCGATATAATTACCAAAAAGTCATTCTGAAAATTCATTCACCTTGTCACCTATATTTTAACTTTAGTTTTATAATTTGATAATTTTATTAATTGGCCCGCAGCAGAATGAAATTATCTTCTATTTATATTTTTGTTTTAATGTTACCGATTTAATATTAATAGTTCCCTTTACATTTACACTAAAAAAAAAAAAAAATACTTGATTCACAAGAAAGATTTTTGATAAAAAAACAAAATTATTTTGTCTTAATTCAAAATTTTTGAGCTTTTGAAAGCTCGTTTTTTTAGTGAAGAAAAATTCTTCATACAAATATAAAAAGACAATTTTGTGACACTGATAGAAGGATTTGTTTATAGTTAAAAATATTTGTTAATATTTAACAAATCATTTATTAAAGACCACTTTTTAGTCCTTAACAAATATTTCTTAGTATTTAAAATGATTTGTTTGTATTTAATAAATCTGATATTCATTTATTAAATATTAATAAATCTTTTTAAATACTAAGAAATATTTATTAAGGACTAAAAAGTGGTCTCTAATAAATGATTTGTTAACTATTAACAAATATTTTTTAATACAAATAAATCCTTCTATCAGTGGAGACAATATCAAATTCAACATTTAACAAAAAAATACTTTTTTCAAAAACTAACAATTATAATTATAGTTTCTTAGAAATTATACATTCTTGACACAAAAATAAGTTTTTTCATTCAAAATATCAAAAAAAAAAAAAATATTTTGACGGAAGAGGTGGTCATAGTTATTACAGGTTCATGAATTTCTCTTATGCACAGAAAAATTTTTTAGAAAAACCGCTCTGCTACTCGTTAAATAATTTAATTAATTATCTATTTTCTATCAGAGCGTTTTTTTTAATTTTTATACGTATAAGAGAAAAAAATGATGAATCTGCAATAGCTTTGCTGTTACGAGTATGATAAAGCGTATTAAAAACTTATCTTTTAGAGTCGAAGATAAAAGAAATTAGAGGATTGATAGTATTTTTGAAACAAGTCGGCAATACCTTGAATCACTTTTACTGCCTATTTTAATTTAAGTGAAAGAAATTTTAAGTTAAATATTCCGTTCCTTAGTTGAAAATAGTGAAGTTCTTAGGTGAATTTTATCAAGTTTATTTTCTTGATTCTGTTTATGATATTTTGAATTGAATATCTCAAAGCAATAATAAAATTTTAACGAAAGTATTTTTTTTTCTATACATGTGGAACTATATAAAAATATAACTAAAAAAATATCTAATTAAATATAATAAAAATATAATTAAAAATAAATTTTAATATATTTTTATTCAGATTTCTTATAGTTTCGCTTTCTTAATTTGAATTGAATATCTCAAAGTAAGAGTGAAATTTTCAAGAGAATATTTTTCTTAAATCAAGTTTTTTTTTTTTAACTTACTAAAGTTTAATTAATGAGTTTTTTACAAATTTTTTTTACACTAAATTATATGTAAATTTCTTTCAAAATTTTTTTTTAATTTTCGCTGGCATTTTAGAACTTATTTTTAATAAACACAAAAAAAAACTATAAATAAAAATGATTTGTGTCGTAACTTGGATGATAATTAAAAGACTCTTCAAGTAATCGGTATTTTGTTCAGTCTGCTATGGCAAGAAGTTCGGTCCAAAGGGTTACGGCTATGGTCAGGGTGGTGGTGCCCTTCAGAGCGACTGCTACGCTAACGGGTGGGTTCATAATTGACAAATACCATTTAAAAGTTCATTTTTTCATTATTATTATTATTATTATTATTTTGCAAAAAAAACTCAAAGGCAGAGCAATGTCTGCCGGCTTATTATTGTCATTATTTTATTACATTATTATTAAGATTATTATCATTATTAATAATAATTATTATTTATTTATTACTATAATTATAAAATGAATTATAATAAACAAAGGATAGAAATATTTTGTTGGCTTCTCTGCTTAACAGCTTGCTATCCGAAGAAATTCGGGCCGCGGGGCATTGGTCATGCAGGACTTGTATGGCTCGGGCTGCAGTGCGACATTGAGGACGATAAGTACGCGCGTCCTTTAATGCTATCTTATTTTATGTAGAATTTGAAGTTTAATTTATTGCTGATTGATTTGTAATTTGGATTTTTCAAATATTAATTTTGAAATTTACAGTTCTTGTAGAAGTATTAAATTTGAAAATTCTTTTAATAAAAAATTTAAAAATCTTATAGATTCATAATTAATTAAAATTTTATATTGAATTTAAAAAATTTATAATTTTTTTATTTTCTTCGAATTTTGTGATAAATTTCAAATATTCTGTGATAAATTTCAATTCAAATAGAGTTTTCCCGTTTTATTTTGCTTATTAATAGTTCCTTTACTTTTTTCTTGTTTTTTAAGCCTTTTATTAATTAACAAATCATAAGTTCTAATTAATGAATTGTTTTAAACCAATTAGGAATTGTGATTGTAATATAAACAAAATATATAAAACAATTTTTTTTAAAACTGATAGAAGTATTTGTTGATATTTAATAAGATTTATTAACTCTTAATAAATGAATTTTTAACATCGTATGTTATAAATTATACGCGATTTATTAACAGTTAATTAACATTTTTTAATAGTTGAAATATTTATAAATAGTTAACAAATCGTTTACAAATACACAATGTTAAAACTGATAAAAAACATTTCTTAGCTATTATTAATAAACATTTATTTGGAGCTCTGAATAAAAAATAATTGCTTATACTTAATAAATTTTTTCTAAATAAATTAATTTAAATTAATGTGTTGTAATCCGAGGATTAAGGATCATGAAATAAATTAATACTAGATTTTTATTTTACGCAACGTTTCGGAGTTTATTACTCCTTCCTCAGGCGTCTGTGGAAACATACAAAATTTATACAATTAATTATTTTAATACAGAACAACACCTCAAAATCTCTCAACAAACTCAATATCACATACCATAAAAGATTTATGTATTAACTTCATCAACAAACAATAAATGTTGCTCTGTCGTTTCCATCGTAGTCTACAAATTCTAGTCAATACACGAGTTATCTTAATTTTTACAAAATATTTACTTCTTTAAAAAATATTATCAAATTATTTTATTTTTATAAAAAAAAAAAAAAAACTTTTTAGTCAAAAACACAGCCACCTATCAGTCGAATGTCAACAATCAGCCATATTGTATGTTTCCAAAGACGCCTGAGGAAGGAGTAATAAACTCCGAAACGTTCGATCATGTTGGCAGTCCTTGGAGTCGCCAATGAGATGTCGAGGATGGATTCTTGGTACCCTGGTCTTCTAAAGGTCGTTGTGCTGAAAATTTCAATACAAAATCAGAAAAAAAAACCTATTCAAGAGCTCCTATTCTTGATGTCTTACGAAGTCAGAAAAAAAGAACTCTTAAAAGAGCTCATATTTCTGATGTCTTGGAAAGTCCAAAAAAGACCTCTTAAACAGCTCATTTTTTTGACCTCTTACGAAGTCGGAAAAAAGACTTCTCAAAGAGCTCATATCTGTGATGTCTTATAGAACTTAAAAAAAAACTTCTTAAAGACTTCTTAATTAAGAGTTCCGAAAAATGAGGTCTTTAAGACGTCATATTTGGAGTTCTCAAGGAAGTCTTTGAAAATACATCTTTAAGAAATCCTTCTGACTTGGATGTTGTCTGGGTTAATCCTCGGATTACAACACATTAATTTAATTCAATGTCAGGATCGGAATATCTCTTATAATAAATTAATTTATTAATAATAAATTCTTCTGTCAGCGTAGAAATTAATATAAGAAAAAAAAATTTTTTTTTTACCAACGTAAAATTTTATCATCTGAAATTTTCAAAAATAGTTATTAAAACTTTTATATAAAAGTGTAATTTTTTTTTCAACAAAAGCTTAATTAACGCAATTGCAAGAGCACGATGTTTTGCATGCATGTTTTTTTATAAAAAATTTTTCTGTATGTAAAATAAAAAAAAGTTACTAATAAAATAAATTTTTAACCAGCTCGAATAGAAATTTGTTTAAAGATAAACTAACAATTAACAAAAAACAATGAAAAGGAGACCAATAATATCGATAAAAAATTTGAAAAAATAGCGATGCAGCTCCTCGAACAAAAGTGAGTGATACTGCATCTATACAAGCACCACCAGGAAAAGGGTGTCCTCGATGTGGCGGCGTAGTCTTTGCGGCAGAGCAAGTTCTCGCAAAAGACCGCGAGTGGCACAGAAAGTGTTTCAAGTGCAAGGACTGCACTAAGACACTCGACTCGATAATAGCCTGTGACGGTCCTGATAAGGATGTTTACTGCAAAACCTGCTACGGCAAAAAGTGGGGACCCCATGGCTACGGATTCGCTTGTGGATCTGGATTCCTGCAAACTGACGGTCTTACGTAAGTATAAATAAATTTTTCTATGAAAAAATGGATGAATTTCTGTTTATGGATGAAATTAATTAAATTTATCACCAACAGAGAAGAAGAAATCGCAGCAAGTAGACCATTCTATAACCCAGATACAACTTCAATAAAAGCACCAGCAGGTCAGGGCTGTCCCCGATGCGGAGGAATGGTATTCGCGGCGGAGCAGCAACTTGCCAAAGGCACAATGTGGCACAAAAAATGCTTCAACTGTGCTGAATGTCATCGGCCTTTAGACTCGATGCTCGCTTGCGATGGACCTGACAAGGAGATCCACTGTCGCTCGTGTTACGGCAAACTTTTTGGACCAAAAGGCTTTGGATTTGGTCACACTCCAACTTTGGTATCGACTAATGGTGACGGCGCACCTTCTTTGTAAGTTTTTAGTAAACTAATTAAGAACAATTTAATACTAGTTCAATGTTTTTTTTAATTTTTAAATGAAAATTATAGCCAAAATATTGGAAAATTATCTTTTGTAAGAAATTCAATTTTCTACGAAGAAGGTTTCTTATAATTTTTTACTATTTTTAATATTTTAAAAGAAATTCAAATCTGAAGATTGTATTAAGATTTTTTTTAGTTACATATAGTAAAAATATTTCCAATAGTTTGAACTTTGATTTTTGAGTTAAATATTAAAAATATGGAAAAATCATATGAAACCTCTTTTCTATACTTATAGAAGGATTTCTTAGCATTTAAGAAGATTTATTTGTATTTAAAAAATCATTTCTTAAACATCATTTTTTAAATACAAAAAAATCTTCTTAAATGCTAAGAAATCGCCTTCTAGTGTAGAGGATTAAATTTTGTACAAAATTATTTCTTATCATTTTTTGATGTCTTTTATATTTTGAACAAAACTCGAATTCAAAAAACGTTTTAATATTTTTTTTTTAAGAATTGCATCTAATAAACATATTTCCAAAAGTTTGTACTTCGATTTCTAAGTCAAATATTGCAGATATGAAAAAATAATAAAATACCTTCTTTCTAGTCAATTAAATTTCCTATAAAAAGATCATATTATCAATTTTACCCTATCTCGAATCCTGTAGCCATAATTTTGATTTATAGTTATAATTTATAATCAAAAATTTTTCTCACGATAAAAACAAATGTGATAACATAAAAATAATTTTTCAGCATTGACGCAAAACCGCAAACTGGAACAAAAAGCACCGACGGCCACGGGTGCTCACGTTGTGGCTACCCGGTTTACGCAGCCGAACAAATGATCTCCAAAGACAGACTTTGGCACAAACGTTGCTTCAGCTGTGGAGCATGCCATCGTTCATTAGACTCGACAAATCTAAACGACGGACCCGACGGTGACATTTACTGTCGCGGGTGTTATGGACGTAAATTTGGACCACGTGGAGTTGGTTTTGGTATGGGTGCTGGTACTTTAACGATGGCTTAATCGTTTTTTCTTTATCTACCATAAAAAATAATTAATAATTAATAAATAATCTTTAATAATTAATTATAATTACATTTTATTTTAATTATTTTAGAAGCCAACGATTAAAATATAACACCGCGGATTCGAGTACGAGACGAATTTAAGATGATTAATTTTTTTTTAATAGAAATAAATTCATTAACTAAATTTATTTATTTTATTCTATTTATAATTTTTAATTGGTAAATTTAACATAAATTCTAATTAATTAAAATTTTAACTCGGTGAATTTTATTCATAAAATTTGAGATCGAATAAAAAAATATTTTATTTAGTTGTGTCAATACGAACGAACGTTTGAAAAATAAATAACAAAAAAGAATAAAAGAGAGGACGTTTTTTTTTGTACAATAATTGAACGTCAAAATGCCGTGAGCAAACAAACAATACCTGAACTTTTTATCCATGCAATAAAATTACTTACCGACATATCGGGTGTTTGTTTGTTTTATTTATTTTTTTTTTATTTAATTGCATTCAGCTCGCGGGTATTTTCGTAACGAAATTAATCACGTAATTCAGTGCACGTTTTAATACACCGTTATAATTGAAAAAAAAAATATGCTAAATATTAATTATTAATTTAACGTTATTATTACAATTACTATTATTATTTTACGTGAAAATGGTTAATTTAATTAAATTGTGTATAACGATAAATAAAGATTTAAAAATATTTTCAATAAATATAAGTTTTAAAATGTAAATATTATTTATTTATTTCCTTTTTTCTTTTTAATGATCTGTTTTGAGGTGTAATAATAATAATATTATTAAATATGATGCGATCAGTTGTCGCGGGCGCCATATTGATTCGAACTCTGATTTCAGAGTTCAGCATCTTTAACAGTGAAACAGGTTATTTTTTTTTTTTTTTTTTTGCTGGTGTAGTCCAGCTGGTCTCTATGAATATCATGTACAGCCAATGTTTGTTCGGCAATGAGCCGAGTCCTCACAGTCGAAGATAATCGAAAATTAACCTGGCGCATAGCGAAAATTATCCGACCATGGTGGGACTCGAACCCATGCCTGGCCAGTACCCGTAGTTCGAAGTCAAAAGCACGTTAGCCGCTCGGCTACAAGTACTGGTTCAGTGAAACAGGTAAGTAAAAATTTTAATTACATCAAAAGTTATAATGTAACTCCATTAACTATTAAGAAGCTACAGGCACTAAAAATAAAATAAAAAATCAATTTTTTCATTTAATTTTTGAAATGTACAAATATGTAAGTATAAACTTACTATTAGCGCTCGGGCGGTAGCGTGGGTGAACTAAAAATAAGTGTCAGACGTTTTTTCTAAGTGTTTGTCGATGAATTAGAGTTTTTAGGGCTATTTTCAAATAATATTCATTAGAAATGGATTTAACATGAGTAGTTTTCTAAATATTTGAGTATTGTTCAAATAAGCAGCCATGAATTTTGTATTTTAGAGTGTATTGTTGGACATATTGCAAATTTGCTGAGTAAATGATCAATAAGAATACTAATGACCTCTTACTTTGTTTATATGACTTATGACCCAAATAGATATACGATAAAAATTAAATCGATAAAATAGATAAAAATTAAATCGATATACGATAAAAATTAAATCTATAATTGTATGATGTCTAATTATTATTACAAATTACTTTAATAATAAAATTTAAGGGGTCACACGCACTTAGAATTTATCAATAAAGTTCAATATCACTTCTGCATATGTATCCATTTTCATATTAATCAATTAAAAAACCTCTGCATAAAAAATGATTTAAAAATGGCTTTTTCAGGCGTTTTAAGTGTGTAAAAACTCTTATAGAACATGAAGAATCTAACGACAGGTAATTTCATTAAAAATAATTATTGAACATAAAAAATTTTAATTATTAGATCCAGGGCTGTTTTTAATGAAAGTTTAGAATTAAATAACAATAAACAAACGTATAAAACACTGATTTCATATATTTATAGCAACAAATGTACAAGTTTTTATTCGACCCATTCACACATTACTGAGACAATAATAGAGATAATGATGATAATAATAATAATAATAATAATAAAGTAAAAGTTATCGAATACGTGCACGGATGACTACTCGATTTACCTCTTAGCTGATTCAAATTAATAAATTACAACTTCTGTCGATACTTGTTCTGTCGGTTCTTAAAAAATTAAAACCTCAGACTAAAAAAACTACTTATAAATAACGTAGGACATCCTTGCACCCTGTATAATCCAAATATATATTTATATATAATATATACGACTTAAATCCGTGCTACCACACCACGAATATCACATTTAATACTTAACCATATAAATTTATCATAACTCGTATCTCATATCATTCATCACATCAAAACTCATTACTCATTACATTGATTCAGATGCAACAATTGTTAATTGCGCATATTAATGTTTCTTCGCGTTAAATAATACCCGTCTATGTACAATTATTTTATGGACAGTTAATTATATTTTATTATTTTATTCGATTGCATTGATCTCTCTATTACTTTATCATTATATAATTATAATTAATAATTAATAATAATATTATTTTTTAATGATTCAACAAACCAATGAAATTTCCAATCCAATGATTTTAATTTAGGGGAGGGGGGGGGCAAAATGGGGTAGGGGTGGCAAAATGGGGTACCCCCAAAATTTCGCTGTTGTTATGGATGGTGCGTCTTGGAACCGAGGTGTTTGGAAAATATTCGGCGTAAATGAGAATAATATCAGCTGTGAACATCCATATGACAGCTCACGACGACTATGGATGATATCGGATTTCCACCATTTAGTTAAATGCTTCCGAACCTCGACCTTAGATGATAAGCTGCATGAGTTTAAGGTATAATAGAGTACATTTTATTATATTACGAAATTTTGCTATGTTATTCTTGTTATCAAAATTATAAATTTTGCAGACTCCTTTTGGGACAGTAAAGAAACGGCATTGGGAAGCATTGTTGGAAGAAGAAAATTATCGTCAGCCAAACTTGAAAATCGCTTACAAATTAACACCTGCGCATTTAAAACCAAAGGGTTTCCAAGCAATGAATGTTCCTCTTGCTACAGAAGTTTGTTTAATATTTTGATATTTCTATCTATTAATGAATTAATCTATTAATTAATTAACAATTAATTAGTTTTATTATAATATTTTAATTTCGATGCTTACTTATAGGTATTCGGTCATGAAGTATCTGTTGCCATGGCTCATTATCAATCAACCTGCGACGAATTAAAAGATTCAACTCCGACTCAAAATTTTATTGATCTAGTTTTTAACTTGATCCAAGCGATGTCATCACGTATACCGAGAGATGCTTTATATGTAAAAGAAGATTGCCGTCAAAGACAGGTAAGATTGGTTATGAAAACAAAAAATAATCAGAAGTTAAAAAATTCTAGGTTTCTTTGGAAGAATATCACTCGACTAAGCTTTGACTAGACGATCATGGCAATAGTTACCACGTCTAAATTGTCAGGTACTCAATGCCGAACGTTTATGTGTCATAGTAAAAGTATCTTAGAAAAATTTATCAGATGGAAATTTTGATAAATTAAGCATATTTTAGAATCATTTCGTTAATTTGTGTGATAAAATTTTATTTTATACATCGTTTTGAAATTTTAACACTCATTTTTAACACTTCATTTCATATAAACATCTTTCAGAGGTACCAATTCGTGCAACCTTCTATCTCTCTCCCTCCCTCCCTCCCTGATATTTCTTTTAAAAAAACCAACTGTGAATTTTTACAATAGTTGAATTGTAAAGTTCACAAACACATATTGTATAATTTGCTCTATAGTATACGACTTTTTAAAACTCTTGCTAGTCTTATTTGTTGGATAAAATTTACAATAGTAGATCGTAAAAATTACTAAATGAGAAGTATAGTCCACCGTTACTATTTTATTTAGTAAAAATTACAATAGTAAAATAGTAATAACTCCTTCAATTTTCTTCCCGTGTAGACTTATCGATAAGAAAATGTTATTTTTTTAACGATATTTCATTTTCGGATGAAGAAATTTTTTTTCACTCTTTCAGGGAGTACCCCATTTTGCCCGCAAAAAAAAAAAATTTTTTTTCTACGGCAACTTGAAATTTGATTATTTTTCTTTAATTACGACTGAAAACGAGAAAAATCAGCGTATTTAAGTCCTTAAAATCATAACGATTGCTTAAGTACCCTATTTTGCCCCCCCCCCTCCCCTATATTATAAACTTCTGATTTCTTGGAATTGTAATTTCTACTTACTCATTAGAAAATCTTGAAATTAAAAACAAAAATAATTAAATGAAATTAAATAACAATTAATGATTATGATAATAATAAAAATAAAAATTAATATAAATTAGCAGTTTTAAGAGGAAGAGGATCGAGAAGATACGGAGGCAGTGTCGTAGAAAAAGGCCGAGGACTACAAGATCCCCAGGCACCGACTCCACTTCCAGTTCCACTTCCATTTCCGTTTCCTCCACCCCCGCCGGTACTTCCACGACTGCCGCCATTCGAGGGATTTTCGCTGTGACTGTCAGCGTGCTGCTGCTGTTTTATGCTCAACAAATTGGGATTCGCGAGCGGTTTTATCTCCGCTACGGACAGGTGGCTGTTGGAACCCACGGGTGTCGCGGGACTCCTGGGTGAACGGCTTTCAGCTTTTACGCTGTTCTGAATCGGGCTGGAAGCTCCGCTATCCACGCCGACCGAATTTTGGCTAGTTGATTTTTGCTGGGCCATGCGCTCCTGCTTTCTGAACTTCGCTCGTCGGTTTTGGAACCATACCTACAATCATAATTTTTATTTTATTAGTATTATTGTTAATATTATTTACTTATTGTATTCATTAAATTTTGATCCTTGAGCAAGTGCTCCCTAAGGACCATAATAATCAAATACATAATGAGTACATATAAGGCTAATCCCATAATAAAATTGAGATGAAATGTA